CACCTAAGAGATGTTGTTTCTTTCACTATGTATATATATCAATATACAAATAAATAAAGAAATGATGTTTACCTACGGAAAAAAAAAAATAAAAAAAAAATAAAATAAAATTTTGACATTTGATTTTTATCAGAGTTATGATAGTCACATAACTTATAAATTAGACAATAATTATTAATTTTTGTAAAAGAAATTCTAATTACAATAATTCTATCTAATTATAGGATTTACAATAACAAAATATAAATTTTGTTATATATTACATATTTTCTTTTATTGAAAGTTGATCATATTTTATTAATTATATATGCTTTTGAGTATTAAGTAAGTATTATATAGATAACAATATATGTATAAAGTAAAGATTTTATTAATTTTTAATTAATTTTTTAATTTATATTTTATGCAACAATTTTATTAATTTTAATAATAATTATATTCTTTTTAAAACCAGTATTTAACAATTATTCTATAAATAATCAATCTTGTTATTATATACTAAATTAAATTCCTATTAACAAAAAAAATCAAATTTCAAAATTATTATAAATTGTTATTATAAATTCTATTCATAATAAAGATTTTTTTAAATTTAATGAAATTATTATATCATAATATAATTTAAATAAATATAAATTGTTAAATTAATAATAGAACTTTATTCAAATTTAGCAAAATTTTATTAAATATAATATTTTAATAAAAAAAAATTTTCTTAATTGATCAAAGTTGGTTTAAATAATAAAATTAAATATTTTATATAAAGTTATTATTATAAATCAATAATAAAACCAATAATTTTTTTTATTGTTAGGTGAAACATTTCTTACAATTTTTATTAATAAAGTAAAAATTTATTATATGATTGATATTAAGATGATGAAATACATTGCTATACACTGTTAGCCTACTATCCTGTTTGGTATATTTCTAGTAAAAAACCTTAAGCAATAATAAAGAAAGAACTATTTCTCTAATAATTTATTCTATTCTGAAAAGACATAAAAGATTTTAAGAAAAAAGTTTAAGAATGATGATTGTTTGTTTGTTTATTTATGTTGGTTTGTTGTTATTTATTGGATTGTTTTTTGTATTTTGTTAATATTGATTAATAATTATTATTATACCAATTTTAAATTTGTAATATTTATAAACTGATAAAAATAATATGTAGATTAATATTGTAAAAAAAGAAAATAAGAAAATTTAAGTGAGAAAAAGCAAATTAGAATAATTAAATAGAAATGATTGATATTTAATTTATTCTATTTATAGTATTATTATATGATTATTTAATTAAACTCATTATTGTCCAAAGCGTTAACATGGTATAAAATTAATAAAATTATAATAATTAACTTTATAAAAATTGAATTTGATCATTTTAATTATAAATATTATTATATATTAAATTCATAATCTCTTTTATTCTTATCACACATATTATTATGATCCTGAAAATTGGAATTGCATAGACTCGCATGGACTCACATACATATAAAAAACATAAGTGGGTTATAATCCACCTATTAAATTTACTATAAGAGTTGGAATCGAATGGAATTGAACACAGAATCATTAGGATCCTTACATATTATGATCATTTGATAATTAAATATTTAAAAATAAAAATAATTACACATACATATTATATTATTATTATTATAAAGATTAACAATGTTTCTCAAGAACGAACCTAAACATGTGCTTTGTTTAATGCACCTGATTTACTATTCAAATCTAATGGAGCTAACTTGGAAGAAATCATGAGAATGTAGGTAACAATAAACAGTTAATTCCTCAACAGGATAGAGTTGGAAATTTTATAAAGATTTAACCAACAAACCACAAATAAGGAAATTAATCAATTTCTGGATTCAAACAACATCGGCAATAATGAGATAAGGATGAACAAAGAAAAGAAGGTTCTGTACGAATCTGCAAATAGTCTCATGCTTTGCTAATACATATTATGCTATTATATCTAATTACAAGAAATATCTTAAAAAACCACGTGCCTAAGACAAATCAAAATGCATAATCAGTTATCAAAAAACTTGTAACTGAAGAATAATACTATTGGGGCTAATCAGGAAGGGATATCGTTTTATATTTCATACGCTAAAGAATTTATAAGTATGATTAATGACTTTAAACAACGGGTCAGGCACAACTTCGAGGTCAAAACAGGGATACCTGTGTATGAGAATGTGGTGTATTTATTCGAATATATAGGGGGAATATAAGGTTAAATAGGTTAAATACTTTAAAACTTATAGTGTGAATTTTTTCTCGAAACTATCTAACACGGTGACATCAAAACTGATCTAAAGTATCAGACATTTACACCAACTTTTCTTATGATATAAATTTTGATCATCTTGATTTGATTCAGTATTACCAAGGTTACCAAACTGCCTTTCTAAACTATTAATTCTCTCTAGTATTAAGCTTGAAATATCCCTTGAGCATGATAAATCATCGCTTTTTAATACATTATTATTGTGTCCGGTTAAATTAAAATCAAATTGGTTATATCCTCCATTTTCATTATAATATTTGTCTATATCTTCGATAGTATCATTTATATCTACATTATTTAAATCTTTCATAACTTGAGTTATGTCGGGACGAAGATTTGGATTTTCTTTCCAGCACGCTTTATGATAAAAAAGAAAAAGAAAAATCAATGTATTGTATATCTAAATGATATTGATAATACAACAAACATTTATTACCTTTATATATTTCTGCATATTTTATCGGAGTTCCCTTTACTATTGTTTCTCTTGCGCCAAAAATTATATTGAATAATAAAATACGTAATTCTTCCTTCTTATCTGTGAATGGTTTGCGGCCACTTGAAATTTCCCATAATAATACTCCAATACTATAAATATCGGATTTTTTATCACGACTATATTTATCAGGATCTTTTAGATATTCTGGGTCTGAATATAATATTGTACCTATAGTTTTGGAAGCTTCTATTGTAGGATCCAACATAGATTTTGCAGTTCCAAAGTCACAAATTTTAATATCCCCATTATGAATGAGAATATTTTTAGAATGCTATTTATAATATTAATGTTAGTAGTTATTATTAAATGTAAATAAATTTTAAAATAATACGTACCAGATCTCTATGCACTATGTCGTTACTATGTAAATGCATCAGTGCACTTGCAATTTGTTTTGAAAACTTTAATTTAATATTCCAGTCCATTCTATTAAAATTTGATTTTAAGTAATTACGTAGATTACCCTCATTTGCATACTCTAATACTAGCATATAATTTTCTTTTATCATTTCTTTAATTTTTAATGAATAGATCAATACGTTTTATCAATATACTATAAATCGACGATAGTTTTAAAATAATGAAAATCTAACATACCTTCTTTTGTTATGCCGTAAAATCCTAATATATTATTATGAAGTTTCGCCTTGAAATGTAATTTTAACTTTCAAGAAAGCAATTTTAGTTACTTTATTAGAAAATAAATAAATTTTCCTTTCGTTTCAATAATATCGGTATTTACCTCGTTATCAAGCTGCTCAAGAGTAAAATGTTTTAAATCAACAGATTTTAACACCACAAGTTTGTTATGACCTCTTGAAAATGCACGAGAAATTTTTCCAAATGCTCCATCATCAATAACTGTTAAATCACCAAAAGAACTATAATCATAAAGATAAATAGGATCTTTAGATGTATTAAAGGATTCTATTCCATCCTTTTTTGATAATGACATCATTGTTTTGATTTTTCTCCCATTTCTCATCTCTCTAAACGTTCGAACAACTGTGTGAAATGATCTGTCCACGTTTATACATTGTTTTGCTGAAGTCTCAATATATTCACAATCAAATTCCCTTCCCATATTCATTCCTTCTTCAATTGTAACTTCTCGCGCAGCAGTTTTATCACATTTATTACCAACAAGTATAATTGGGACTTTGTCAGAGTCTTTGACACGTAGTATTTGGTCTCGAAACATTTTAACGCATTCAAATGAATCACGACAATTGATAGCATAGACAATAATAAAAGCGTCACCATCACTATATTAATTTGAAAAATCGGGTTTCAGTTATTCTAACATTTATCATATTTTACCATTGAATTTCTTTTTGTATCAAATTTATCTACCTGATCGACATATCACGGTATCTATAATACTCTTCTTTTTTTTAAAAAAAAATTTAATTAGTCCAATTTAAAACGAAAGCATTAATTTTGTTATAAATAAGCAACAAAATCTCACCTTGACCTGAAGTATCCAGTACTTCTAGATTACATGGTTTATTATCAATTACTGCTTGTCCTCGATATACGTCTTCTATAGTTGGATTATAATCCTAAAAAGTGTGGTAATTTGATGATACAGTAATATTGATGGGTGGAGGTTGTCAAACAAGCTTTTTACCTCTATAAAGACAATTCATTTAGTTTTATTGTATAGATCTTAAAAGAATGTTTCAGCTTGAAGAAAGAACATACCAGTAAAATAATGTAGACAAAACTAAACCCGGGTTTAAAAAAATGGATAATTAGGAAAATAATTATGTAAAATAACAATGTACCAGAGTTTAATACCTGAATTATGAGAGCAGTCTAGAGAGAAATACGCACATTTGTTATTTTGATAAAACAAGAAAAAAAAAACAGATTTATGTTACCTTTCCAACGGCACCAAGTCCAACAACGACAATTTTACAATTAATTTTAGCTGACATTCATTAAAATTTTCGGTCAGGTACAGTACTGTATATAGTATTTAATAGGACAATAAAAAATTTTTTTAAAAAAATAAATGTGAGTTCACAGCAGAAATTTACCATCATTTCTAACGACATGGAAGGTGTTACTGTACTTGTGTATCGGTTGTGCAGTTAGGTCACCCGATACAGTACAAGGAATATTAATAATCAAACTAAAAAAAATAAATGATCAACAAACTTAATATAGTAAATAAATAATCAAAAAATATTTAATAACTTAAACGATTATACCTATACAAATAAATTAATGAATCGATAACTAAATTTAAATATCAAAAATAATCAATTAATCAATAAATTAAATCGTAATAATCTATACGTATACTGTATCGAGTATCAGTCTAGTTGTGGCGCAGGTACACATTTTCTTTATTATAAATGTTTTAATTTTTAAAATAAATAACTAATTTTAATTGCATCATAAATTATCAATACAAAATAAGTTACATAATAAAATCATATCTGTGTTCAATGACGAATATAATCAAAATTAAAAAAAAAATCATCAAAGTTAAATTTTTTAAATTTTTTAAAGTCATTTGTTATTTATTAAATACTTTTTTTTTAATAAAAAAAATAAGTTACAATAGTTTGTATTTTTTATTGATTTATGCTCATAATTTAATCAATACATCAAAATAATTTAATAATAGATTTTATTCTTATAAATTAATTTGAATATTACAATGATAAATTTAAGTAAAAGTTTCAGTTTCAATACTAAAGTAAAAAATTTTTTATTTCAAATTTAGATTATATTTTAAATAATTAAAAAATATTTAATTAAAAGAATTTTAAATTTTTTTTAAAAAAATCACAAAAGAATATTAAATGCATACCTTTATTGAATAATAAATTAATATGTTAACTCGTACAAACATTAACAATTTTACTAATATAAGTTAATTATAAACCCTATAATTATATTACTATATCAACTTATATCATATAGATAAATCCATATTGTAATTTAAATTTAACATTTCCTGTCTATAAAAAATGTATAATAATTTGGATCCTAATCTGTCACCTGACTTTGGATACATGCCATAATCAATGAAACTATCAATCATTTCAAGCCATATGGGTTTCTCAAGAAGTAATATATAATTAATAAAATAATAATAATAAATATAATTTTTTTTACATGTTTCAATATATATAAGACACCTGATATTTAAATAGCAACCCAACCAATAACAGTTGGTTCAAGTTATATACCAGGACTCAAAAAGATGCTTTGGGATAAAATAAAAGAAGGTAAAAAATGGTTAAAAAAATGAAATAATCAAGATTTTGTCAAGATAAACTATAGTGATGAATTGTAAACAATGAACTAAAGTTTTTATAGAAATAAAAAATAAGAAGGAGCAACTTTATTCATCTTCAAAATTATATTTAAAGATTAAATATCTAAGACAGATATTCAAATATAAGTAATTAATTTATATATAAAAGTTTATACATGTACAATTATATCTTTTTTTAAAAGATTAAATAAATACAATAAATACTTATTTGATTATAGAAAAAAATAAATAAAATACTTGATATTTGTTTAAATATTATATATCAATATATATTTATACTTTAAATATAAATATATATATATATATATAATTTTTTTTTTTTAAGTAGGTAAATATTATTTTTTTATTTTATTTCATATATATCATAGTGCACATTTATGAAAAGAAACAATATCTCTTAGGTGTAAAAGCATACAATAAGTTAAATGCTAGCTTGTCTACTAGTATGATATTTAACTAGTACAGAAAAGAAATTTTAAATAATATTAATTGTTAAACAAAGGCCAAATAGCAGCTATGCCTACCTACTCAGAAAAAAAAGTTTTTACATTTTTGAAATTTGAGAAAAAAATAAAAGCAACTAAAACTAAAACTAAGTCAAATAAATTATAAAATCTGTAAAAATAAAAGTTTGATCTTCAAGAAAACACTTTGTTAGGCTCATTGTCCCAGATCACTGGTTCTTTACGACTTATTAATGCTTCTTTTCTTGACACAAATATAGAATATACTTGAAGTTGTTTATCATGATAGTTGTTATTATGTTGGTAGTGATTGGATAGATAAACCAGTTTGGACCAGTTGTTGTTGTTGTTGTTATTGAATTAATAAACCAGTTTGAACCAGTTTTGTTATTGTGATTTGGATGATGTAATAAATTTTAATTAGATAATTGCCAGACATCAATCAATTGGAGAAGGTGAACTGATTTCGGTTTTTGGTGTCAAAAAAGATTGAGGATTTTTTTAAGTGGTGCAATAAGTGACGCCAGGATAGAGAAGTATATAAAATTGTATTAAAACAAACATTAGAACCTATAACTTTGTTTGAGTATGTTTTTTGGAGGATGTTTATGAATATAGCGATTATGATGATATATATAAGGATGGTTTTTATAATAAAAAAGGGTTTGGATTGCAAGAAAACTAAAGAACCAAAGTGTATTGTCATGGAACTTTCTCCATGTAACCAAAGGATAAACAAGACTCCCAACTTGAGTAGACTTCAACCAAAGATTCCATTTCACTGTACCAGTTGTCTTTAGTGTTCTTAAGTTTCTAAGCTGGGGCTCACTTATAATAAAAAGTATAAAACATTTTTCTTTGACCAAAATTACCATATATAAAATTTTTTGAATAAAATGGATACAATCAGAAGAGAGTTTTTTTTATTTTACTATTTTTAAATTCTATATATATAATTTTTTTATATTTAAAAATAATATTAATAATATATATTAAACTACAAAAGTGATATGACTCTTTTCACTAATTCCTTGCCAACCCAAAAAACAGACGTTCTCAAAAATATTCTTTTATTTTTGATAATAAAGTCTATACACTTTTCTTAAAAACATTACTCCCTGAAGGTAGGTGCCTCCCCCACTTGTTTACTCTTCCTTCTTTAAAAAACTTTGGATATTTTAGCAACAAAACAAATAAAACTTTATCCATTTGATTTATGATAAGAACACCTTACTGAAAAGAAGAAATCTGTTAAAAGATACTCTCCACGACTCTCTCCTTAGGTCTGAACTTTAGAAAGTGAAATCACTAGTGAATGCATTTCCTAAGCTTCATAAAAACCTTAGATCCACTGTAAGTAAACACCTTCTGCTTGAGGCGAGTGGATAAACTAGTTGGTGCCTATCAAGCAAATGTATTTCCCAAGTTCCATAAAAACCTTGGGTCCATCATAAGATTCAAAACTCCTGTGATCCAGGCAGGTGGATAAGCTAGTAGAAGTTTACCTGCTCGGATATATGATCTTTTTTTACCAGTCATATATGTCTATAGTAGTACTTTCAAGTGTGTAAAAATTTTCTTAATTTTTTCTGGGGAATTTTGCCTACCTTAGTTTGACCCTGAATTTTTTGTTACACCGGAATTGCCAGTTGGTGATTGGCTGAGATCTTGGATTGGTTGATCAACAAGTAAAAAAAATATAAACAAGATACGTACCTACACATACCCTGCGTTATATCACATTATAACCAATAATGTAATTGGATTAAGCAAAAAAGCAAAGTGTTAAAATGTCCTTTTGATAAGAAGTGTTTGGAAGTCTTCCCCCCTCTTGTGCTGGTTTCTTTTCTCCTCAAGATCAAAGAAGGCTCTTATTAGGCTAGTGATTGGTTTTGATGAGTTGTTATTTTGCCAGTGCAACCTTTTTTCCTTCTTCTTTACTCTTCTCTTTTACCTTTTTAAAAAAATAAAAATTTTATATCTTAGGATCACAGAGGTTAAGTTGGGATGAACAGTCTTAATGAAGGGCTGACGATGATATTGAGATCAACAGTAAATATAGGTCAAGATAGAACAACTTTATTCATTCCTCTTAATCATATCTAGAGATCAGTGGCTGTTGACGAGTGTGCCATATAAAGAAAAAAGTTTAACCCTTAGTATAGATCTGTTAGATACTTTGTATCTATCCATTTGTACCTTAGATTAATCCAAATATACCAGTTTGAATAAACTTAAATATATGGCTTGATTAGATGTAAAAAAAAAAATAAAAAAAATAATATATATTAAACTCTTTCTATTGATTTTTTTGCCAACTCAAAAAAAATAAATATTTTTAAAAATATTCTTTATTTTTAATAATAAAGTCTATATACTTTTCTTAATATTTTACTTCTTGAAAGCTAATGCCTTTTCTACTTGTTTACTTTTTTTTCTTTGAAATACAAATATTTTTATTTTAATCAAACACATATCTTACTTAAATTAAAATTATCTTTATTAAAAGATATAAGTCTTTTAACAAAAACCTTTTTCTATGCTTAAAAGAACTTAACTTGAAAAAAGTTATAATAAAATCACTTTAACTAAAAATTGTAATCAAATTATATAAAAGCTGTTAAAAGTACTTTTAATAATCATTAATCTTTATATCAAAGTTTGAAAATATATTAAGAAATACAGTAAGTTGTAAATGATAGAAATTCTTTAATATAAAAAACCATATACTGTATATAAGGTTTTGTGTGAATAAGTTCTGATCCTGCTCAATATAACTGGTAGAAGTATAAACTAAACAAGTACTTTTATTCTAAAATATTACTATTATCTCTATATACTTAAGAAAAATTTTTATAAAATTGATCTTCTTATTTATTTTTTAATTACTATTTATATTAAAAACCATAATTAGCTTATTTCTTCAAAAGATTGATACAAAATGATTATACTATATTAAAAATAAGGCTCCTAATATAAAAAAAATTTATAGATCATATTATAATAACAAACTGATTTTCAGATTCAACATATTCAAAATCTAATTCTCTTAATTATATTAAATAACTCATATTAATCTTTCTAGTAAATATATATATTAATTTATAATATAATTAGTAGCTAGCCATTATTTATTCTTTTTCTTTTCCCACATAAATTTTAAAGTTTGTATATGTTATCT